CTGAATTAGTAAGGATAAGCAGCACATACTCGATATGGACAATCACATGTTATGACCAAAATGATTATAGCGATAAATAATAAAAGATATTAATAGTCCAGAAAAATAGTAAAATAAAATCAAACGGAAAAAAAGAAAAAAAGTTTTGGTTTGCGACTTTGAAATCTTTTCTCGTCGTTTTTTTTTTGTTTTTCTGCTCTTTAATTTTGTTTTCTCCCCCTTAAAAGAATAAAGGCCGTCGTTATAACGGATTTTTTGCAAGTTTAGTTAAGAGTCCGGTATAAAACTCAATGTTCGATGTACAGCGGACAAAAGTACTTGGCCCGAGCAATCCGTTACATCGACTTTCACTGTGTATAAGTTATCTGCCATTAAAAAGGGGTTTCTTTTATTTTGTAAAGTTTATGCAAAATTTTTTAATGTTTCATTATACGTGTTACAATATTTGTTCATTATTGCCCTTTTCAAAATTCTAGTACTAGGTCCACCCGTCAGTCAATGTCACATCATTTTTTTTTGTAAACGTGATTGCTCGCGCGCGCTTACAAAGAAAGGTCAGTACAAACCGTTACCCAGTGATTTCCAAAGCAGACCACTCCAGAAGCTAAGTTTATTACAATGAACTTTTTAGAAGCCGAGGACTGTTTTCAAGGTTGCGGTAATTACCAGTAATTTTTCTCGATTACCAGCGATTTCCCTTGATTACCTTGATTACTGGGCACAACTTTTATATGTTGGGCTATAATACATAAGTATACATAATAAAAAGGCAGTTAAAGCCCCCCAAAGAATAAAAAAAGTTGAAGCACAGGTTTTTAGATTAGCTTTGCTGACTTGCATTCTCTTACACCCATAGTTCTCATAATGGGTAAGCCTCTTGCACAGATCTCAAATGGTGTATTGTATATGTCTTTATAGATGGTTATTCAAGGAGATATATTGCACGATATCTCTACATTTACCGTTCGACAGTAAAACGAGTGTTGAAGATTTTTCATCATTGGAGTTGTGTGGGTGGTAGACAAGGTAAGGAGATCAAGAAAATGTGGCTTTTCCTTGTAATACAACCAACATATATTTGGTAAATCTAGATAAATTAGGTAAAAGATTAAATCTTATTGGTGCGGCTAGATTAAATTTTGCCAGGACGAAGTGAGATGATCTAGAATTTTGAAAAAGGTTATACTTATTTAATCCAAAGATTCGATAATCTGTCACCATACCGAACGCAAGAGAACTTGAAATTAAAAATTTCGAGTTAGATGTGAATGTTGGCAGCATTTGAATCTTATTCAAAACTACAATGCCGTAAACAAGGGGTTTTAAAATAAGGATACTTTTAGGGAGTTACGCCATTGTATCCATAGCCATCAAGTCAAAAACAAACAAAAAAAAAAAAACAAAAAAAAAAAAACAAGGAAATCACGTTAGTATCCCCGGGAACGTGATATCGATTGTACTGCAAGCATTTATATTCGATTGGAACGACATAGCCATCCGTTAGAAATTAATATTAAATTTACACACAACCATGTTCAGTGGAATCACTCAGTTTTCGCCGTGTCAAAAGTGAAGTCCGCAAAAAATTATTCAAAGACGGACATTCGCCTGCCTCCACGTTGTTCGCTTATAAAGATAAACTGTACCTTAATGCTACGAACGATCAAGAATTGTTGGAAATACTTTCTGATCGAGCATTCAATCCGGACTATGATACTGTTCTCCATTTTTCCCGAAAATATCGCAAGACTGCACTTGGCGGTCGTAATGGAAATCGATGTTTGAGTGCTTAAGTGTATGGTCAAAGAATACAACAATTCAGGTCGGAGTAAAGCGGCGTTGCAAGAATTTGACGCCGATACTGGAAAAGCATTTATACTTTATATTGTAACGGGTCTTGTGAGAAATTCCACAAGCGCGCGAGTTGTGTTATATCTTAACGCATCGAGTACTCTCCGCTATACTAGCTACGCAGTCGGTGCCCTTCCGCTCGGGCTATTTATAACTTCACATGAACTCGAAATCACATTAGAAAAGGCAATAAATTTATTGAAAACGATTCTTCCTGAATATGCCTTTTTCGGACGCGGTCCACAAGTAGTAGGTCCGATCGTTTTCCTCACGGGCAGAACGTAATGCTCTGGAAATGTGTTGGCCGCAAGGTGTGTATATTCATTTCCTAAAATTCAATAAAAATCGTTAATGAAATTTTCTGAATTATTTATAATGAATTTTAGATTGAACCCAAATTCGATGAATAGGTTCTCAACGAATTTTATAGCCGTTATATCGTTATGTCTTTGTTCTTTATTCTTTACCTAATCACTTATCCTTTTCCGATTGAAATTTATCACAGGGATCCGTCTTTCACATTCTTCAATCGTTATGGCTTCATTATTCGAAACACCACATTAAGAAGAAGGATCGAGCACTTATAATGGAGAAGATGAAGAAAATCTTTTATGCATGTTGTACCTCAGTTTGGGACCCGTCTCAGTTCTGGACTGAGTCAACTCAGTTCTGGACCGAGACAGGTCT